CAGTGAATAATGTCAGAATAATGAATTAAAATGTTTTTTAGATAAACTTTTTCTTTAATGTTGTCTTTATAATAGAGTTTGTTTAAAGGACGATACATTGATGTGTAAAGATACGAAACGATTGGTCTGTGCAAGAAACTGAATAGTATAAATACTAGACTTTCAAAACATATGATGGTTTGTGGGACTTGCAGACTAAAATTTAATTCATTATTGACTGAAATTCTTGCCTTCAGGTGAACACAAAAGGGTATGAAACTCGCAACAACAGTGAAGCATTACATTTTCAGTGAATAATGTCAGAATAATGAATTAAAATGTTTTTTAGATAAACTTTTTCTTTAATGTTGTCTTTATAATAGAGTTTGTTTAAAGGGGTAGTCCACGCAAAAATGTCATTCGGTCACATTTCTGTCATTATTTACTCACCAGTTAAATACTCATGTTCTGTGTATCGTTTCTTCACCATTATTTCTTCTGCTGCACACAAAAGAAGATATTTTGAAGAATGTTGATGTCCAAATAGTTCGGTTCCCATTGACTTCCGTTTTTTTGGGTTCCACAGAAAGCAAAATTCATACAGGTTTGTATCGTCATGAGTGTTTTGAATTAAGCGCTTTTGTTAAAGGGAAAGTTCACCCAAAAATGGAAATTCTGTCATCATTTGCTCACCCCCGTGTCGTTCCAAACCCGTGTGACTTCCTTTCTTCTGTGGAGCTTTAAAGAAGATATTTTGAAGAATGCTGGTAACCAAACAGTTCTGGTTCCAATTGACTTCCATAGTACGGGTCAAGGGAAATCAGAACTGTTTGGTTGCCAACATTCTTGCTAAATAATGAATTTGAATTTTTCCTTTAAGTATAATTTATTTCTTGTGTACAAATTAAGTTGTTCAATGGCAAGCCTACAGTATATATTTTTTTATTTTTTATCATCAGATGAATTTAGTTTCAGGCCTGCATAGATATACTGAAACTCATACGGTGTGTGTTTTTCTGTTATTCAGAACTACGAGATGTTTTCTGAGGCGGTGGAGGCAGACACAGTGGAACAGTTTCTGAAGATTGCATGAGAGTCAAACCTGGTAGCAACCATCATCCTCTTCCCTCCCCTGGTCCATGTCCACATTCCCAAAGGGAGGCCTGCCTGTCCCCCTTCAGTGTCTCAATGCCATGCCACATGCCAAAAACAATCAACAGAAAAGCACGCACTCGCTCTGTACCACCATATTTACCCTCAAACGGAGACCCGGTCACTCGTTCATTCCTTCGTGCTTTTGTTTTGATGATCTTGTTTATTTCCTCTCTTGAGTCCTCTTTGGTTCCGACGCTTAAACGCCACTAAATTGTCTTAATCTTGTTTGGATCAGAGCGCTTGGATGTGTAGTAATTAGGTCAGCAACACTATGTTTATTCCAGATTGAGCTAATCCACAATCCAAGAAATACGAGAATGATTTTGAGTCCAGTAGTTGAATCAGATTGCCAATTTGTGTAGATGGCCTTCATATATTCCCGCCTTTAGTACTGATAAATCATTTAGAAATGGCTAACTCTCTATGGGCTGAAATTTATGTGTTGGTACCTTAAAAACACAGGCCCTAATTTCCAGCATGATGTGAACCAGATGCATTAGATGCTTTTTATTTTATGCTTTGGCAGAGTTGAAGCCTCAGGTTTTGCTCTCCGAGACAGGTTTCCATTTAACATTCCCAATTTCAGGGATTGAAAAACGTTCCATTTCGTTAAACTGTGCCAATAAATGTCTGTACGAGTGTGTTTTCCATACAAGCATTTTTCCTCTATCCTCCTTATTCCAAAGTCTGAAAATCCATTATAAGGTGAATCTCACAATGATTTGGTCATGTTTTACCAAAATAAGAAAACATATTTTGCATAAAGTGATTTTTTTTTTTGCATTGTGATATTTCTTTCATGACAGTTAAACACAACCTCTAATAAATATATATATATTACATATAAATGCTTTCCATTTTTGTTATATGCATTGCTATAATGATAATTCTGCAACATTGTCATGAAGATAATTTCAAAATGCGACAAAAACAGCATCATTTTGCAAAATAGAATTTCTTATTTCCTTCTTTGAATTTTAGAATTAAGCATAATCCGGACACATTCTTGACAGGTTCAACCATTAATTTAATAGCAGAATAATGAGAGAGATCTGCTCAACTGCTTAACCCAATGAATGGGCAATATTCTCCAACACATTCCTGTTATGCCGCTGAATTTCATCTCATTTTTCCGTTCTGGTAATGCACTAAGTGTTGGTGTTTCTGTGATCAGCAGTGCAAACCTTCCCTGAGCTCTTAATTAGCTCAGTACTTCAGCTGCAACCACGAAATACATAATCTAGTAGCCGAATCCCTCCATACGGCATAGTTCACATGTGCATGCTGTTCCATCAAGTGTCAAATTGAGCTCACTGGAGGTTGTAGCATTGACATTTCCAGCAGGTTATCCTCTAGCATGTCATGTTGATCATATTGGTACTTAATTTATACTGTATACTTGGCACAGTCTTACAATCTAGTTGTGAGTCGCGGTCCTACATCTAATTCATTTCATCTGGCATCGGTAATGTCTGCTGCTCTCAGTTCGTCTTTTTTTGCAGTATATGCCACTATTGTTCTCTGCGGTCAAAGTTGAGACACGCACAGACAGCTGGCTCATGAAATGATTGTGAATCTTCCTCTGTCGTTATTGTTTGTAACGATTTCTTGTGGTCTCTTTGTGCTGTACTGCTTTTCTTTTGGACCAACGCCATTTTTGGCCAAAATAAAATAATGATAATTAGGGAAAGAAATGCGGTTGTCTTCCAAGAAGATGGTGAAATTGTGGTGTATGGGTCAAATAAAAAGTGCAAAAAAAAAAATTCAATTTTTTTGTGTTGTTGTTGATATCGCTGGCATATGTTTAGATACCTTTATCCAAGCATTTTTCATAATTAGCAACATATTCTTGATAATCAAATGAAATGCAATTCAGATTAACATGTTAACTAGCCCAACACAGATTTTCATGATTAAAATGGGAACAAATGGAGGACCAAAAGTCTGGAAAAACCTGGAAAAAGGCAGTTTTAGGGGTTTTTACAGTTTTAAACATTTGTAAAAATGCAATGCAATATAATATATTTTAATGCATTAAATCGTTTCAGGAATAATTGTAACCCAAGTTAAAATGCATTTTATCATTTGCAGATTCTTTGCCACATCTGAAACCGGTTGTTTGTCATTTGTTTTGATGCGTTATACTTTCTAAAGATGTAAAAACTGAATAGATAAGTATTATAAAGTATAATAAATGTGGTTCATCAGATCATACAATGCAGATGAATGCATGATAAGGGCATTTATTACCAACTATTTCTAAGCCACTAATAAAATAAGAACGTTTTTGAGCATTGATCAGGCAAACTCTCAGATGTTCTGGCTTCCACTGAAGCTCAGGATGCTCTTTGAATCATTGTAAACTAATGATAGTGAAGACACCAGCAGTGCTCAGTGGTTTAACTGGTGTGATTGCTGCATTATTTGCTCTTACTTTGCATATAATCTTTGGACCTAAACCTGAAGGGTGGATACGGACACATGATCAGGGAGCTGTAGTTAATTATTCATCCATCAGCTCTGCACTCTCACTGACCAGCATTAAGTAGCCTGAAACAGGCCATACGAATTAGAACATGTACACATGCTTGTGGAGATTAAATGTAAGTTTGATGTGAAATTTGTAAGAAAGTATGAAAACATGTCTCAAATTGAGCAAGCTATTACATGAATTTCAGCATATGTTCAGGAACAGGTTGAATTTTCCAGGCTTACGATATCTGATTTGTCTTCTGTATCATTTTAAAATTATTATTCATTTCTTATTTACAGTTCCTTTTTCTATCAGTATAAAAATGCAAGTTAAACAGCATTTGTACTTTCAGTTTATTATAGCCAAAACTGAATTGCTTTTTATGTTACTTTCTGAAGCAACTGAATCACGGCAGGCTAACTTAAAAGTTGCATTATTTTGCTTTACCGCTTAAAATTGAAAGGGTTAGTTCACCCAAAAATGAAAATTCTCTCATTAATTACTCACCCTCGTGTCGTTTCAAACCCGTAAGACCTTCGTTCATCTTCGGAACACAAATATTTTTATATAATATTTGTGTATATAATATATAATCTGAGAGCTGTCTGACTCTGCATAGACAGCAACGCAACTGAAATGTTCCCGAGTCCAGAGACGTAGCAAGGAGATCTGTAAAATAATCCATGTGACATCAGTGGTTCAACCGCAATTATACGAAGCTACGAGAATACTTTTTGTGCGCAAAAGAATAAAAAAACAAACGACTTTATTCAACAATTCGTCTCCTCCGCGTCTCCCTGTAGCGCCATTTTGGAGAGTATCAGCTGGACGTAAACAGCGTATGCTTTTCTGTGTCAGCTGCGTCACACGGATACGCTGTTTCCGTTCAGATCAAATCACAACCACGTAGTAAACAGATCCGGCGTGACACAGATGACACAGAAAAGCATACGCTGTTTACGTCCAGCGGATATTATCCAAAATGGAACCAGGGTGATGCGGAGCAGACGAATTGCTGAATAAAGTCGTTATTTCTTTTTCTTTTGCACACAAAAAGTATTCTCGTAGCTTCGTATAACTGCGGATGAACCGTTGATGTCACATGGATTATTTTACAGATCTCCTCGCTACGTCTCTGGACTTGGGAACATTTCAGTTGCGTTGCTGTCTATGCAGAGTCAGACAGCTTTCAGATTCCATCAAAAATATCTTAATTTGTGTTCCGAAGATGAACAAAGGTCTTACGGGTTTGAAACAACACGAGGCTGAGTAATTAATGACAACATTTTCATTTTTAGGTGAACTATCCCTTTAAAGTCGAATTTTACAGGCTCTTTATTATTATGTTTAACATTAGAAAAATGAAATACATGTACATTTCCAGTGTGTTTTGATCCAAAGAACCAGCTTATACTGGTTAGGAAAAACCAGAAGGTTGGTTAGGAAAGCACTTTTCTTTTCTTTTTTTTGAAGATGACAGCGATGTCTTGCGCCCTCATGTGACTGTGAGAAAAACAACCACTTTCCACCATCCACTTCAGTTGAATGAAATAATCATATAATGGACCAGTGAGAAAAGTTTAAATTAGTCAAAAAAAGAGAATACGCAATAGGGAAATCCAAGCCTGAAATATGATTACACAGTCCTGAAGACGGTTGGAAACATCACATTTGAATCAGTTCAGTTACACAAATGACTGTTTCTTTAGCAGTGGTTTTATATGTTGGTTTCAAACACTAAAATTGTATTAAATAAGGATGATTCTGAAATCCAAAATAAAATCTCAAATATCATTAAAAATGTTTGTAAAAGCCATTGGGTAAATAAGTGAACACAATAAAACCACTGCATTTACCTTCACTTCTTTAAAGGGGTCATATGATGCAATTTCAAGTTTTCCTTTCTCTTTGGCGTGTTACAAGCTCTTGGTGCATAAAGAAGATCTGAAAAGACTAAAGTCTCAAATCCAAAGAGATATTCAGTTCAGAGTCTGCTACGCCCCCCTAAAACGGCTCGTTCTAACACGCCCCCACATATCTACCTCACTATGTGGAAATATTAGCATAATGCTGCCCAAATGTGCACGCAAAGAAAGAAGGCATGGTTTCAGTGACCGCAGTTAGTGTTGAAGCAGCATGTCAGAGAGACGCTGTGTGTTTCTAGGCGAAAGCAAACACACTTTATTTGGCCTTCCAAAAGTAGATGCATTTAGGAATCATTGGTTAAGAATTATTTACAACAGAACAGCAAAACCCAGATGTTCGAATTTGTGCAATGAAAACAACGTGTTTGAGAGATGCGGGGCATAGAGGACCTACAATAATGTACAGTATTTGAAAAATAATGTGTTTTTTGAACATTAAAGCATGTCAACATATTCTGTTACACCAAATACACCAAATAATGATATTTAAAATAGCATATGACCCCTTTAAGACATTCTTGCAATTTCTTTTAACCAACTAGTGAATGCTTTCACAGCCTTAGCATCCTGTAGAGCTGGCAGGCCTTGTTTGCGTCTGGCGCCTTGGCTTGAGGACGGTAGTTTTAGCGCACTTATCTAGGGATGTGTTTAGTAAATAGTTAGTTGAGTTTTAGTTAAGTTAGTTAAGTACTGCACCAATCATATTATTAATAATGGAGTTACGTCATGGGAGATTACAGAGATTCTGTAAGGGCCACTCCATAAATCACTGGTGTAATTCCTCCATATACAAACACAAAATAAATACAAAAAATGTGAAAATAAACACAAAATGTTTTACCAGTTTATATTTATTTCTTTGAATGTTAATTTGAATAAGTAACTCGCCAGGTAAGTAATACCAGGTAAATAATATTTTAAAGGGGAACCACACTATGTGACCCCCATCTACTATTTGAAGCCCAAAGTATCAGCATGTAGTAGCGGCTGCAGACAGGGTCCAACATTAACTGTCAAACAAATGTGTGAAAAGTTTTAGCAAATTTGTGTTAAAATTGGCTTTGCAAACAGCAAAGATTCATTTAAAATGAGGAAGAATGCAAGAAAATCTGATTATAATTTATGCTGCTTAGTTTTTTTCCCTTCTAAAAATCATAATTTTTGTCTGTTCCACATTGTATGAATTCATACGGGATCACCACCTCACCCATCTGCTCTGTGGATGTGAGGTCAGGGATCACTTACAAATCATAAGTTCACTAAATGGGACTAACACTCGGTGGATCCTCTCCATGCAGAGTTCTGCAAAAATATACTACGAGTGCAATAAAAACTCCAAATAATGCCTGCAGAGCAGAATTAGGACTGTATCCAGTAGGACTGTGTTAAAATACATCAATAAAAAAGAGAGACATTATATTCATTATATTCCATGCCCACCTAAAAAGCAGCATTACTGAGACCCTGCATCACAAAGCCCTCAGATACCAGGAGCAGACCCTTAGCCAGCTGGTAATCCAAAATGTCCATCTAGGCCCAGATAGGTCAAAACAAATGATTAAAACACAGAAAGACATGACAGAAGCAAAAGCTCAACAAAGACATTTGATAGATAGCGATATCTATCTATCCGTCCGTCCGTCTGTCTGTCTGTCTATCTATCTATCTGTCCATCTATCCGTCTGTCTGTCTGTCTGTCTGTCTGTCTGTCTATCTATCTATCTATCTATCTATCTATCTATCTATCTATCTATCTATCTATCTGTCTATCTATCTGTCTGTCTATCGATCTATCTTATCTATCTATCTATCCGTCCGTCCGTCCGTCTATCCGTCTGTCTGTCTGTCTGTCTGTCTATCTATCTGTCCATCTATCCGTGTGTCCGTCTGTCTGTCTGTCTGTCTGTCTGTCTATCTGTCTGTCTGTCTGTCTGTCTATCTATCTATCTATCTATCTATCTATCTATCTATCTATCTATCTATCTATCTATCTATCTATCCGTCTGTCCGTCTGTCCGTTTGTCTATCTATCTGTCTATCCATCTGTCCGTCTGTCTGTACGTCTGTCTATCTGTCTATCTATCCGTCCATCCATCCATCCATCCATCCATCCATCTATTCGTCTGTCTGTCTGTCTGTCTGCCTGCCTGATCTATCTGCCTGTCTGTCTGTCTGTCTGTCTGTCTGTCTGTCTTTCTGTCTGTCTGTCTATCTATCCATCCGTCCGTCCGTCCGTCTGTCCGTCTGTCTGTCTATCCGTCTATCTATCCATTTATCCATCTGTCTGTCTGTCTGTCTGTCTGTCTGTCTGT